CGGTGCAATGACCAACTCTTTGTATCTTGGGCTAACCCTCATAAGGGCAAGCCCGTTACCAGGCAACGGCTCTCCCACTGGATTGTGGAGGCGATTTGCTCTGGCTTATACGAGTCAGGGTTTGCAGGCACCAACGGGCCTGCGCGCTCATTCTACTCGTGGATTGGCTACATCCTGGGCTTTGTTCAAGGGTGTTTCCATTCAAGACATTTGTGCAGCAGCGAGCTGCTCACTTTTGTCTGCTTTTACAGGCTAGATGTTTCTGCTCCAAGTGCGGCCCGCGCAGTGCTGGGCCCCGTATTGGGACAGGGTTCTACCTGTTAAGTTCTGGTTTTGTGTTGGTGATTTTCGAGATAAGCATGTCTGGCAATGCGGGAGTCTCAATATCCCATAGTGAGACATCGAACGGAGTGTTATGAATGAGAACTATAGGTTACTTACGTAACCCCAGTTCTCAGAGTAACATGAAGTGAGATGTCTCACCTGACGGCCCTTCTTGCTGAGGCGAAGCGAGAAGAGGTGCTTATTTTGAATGACGCCTGCGTCGTGGCGCAAGCTACTTATAGGGTTGGTGGATTCCCTGACGTTGGCGTCAAGATCACCAGCCAATCAGGATTGGCGTAATGAGATTGATGCTTCTGGTGCATACGCGTTGAGGCGCATCCCATAGTGAGACATCTCACTTCATGTTACTCTGAGAACTGGGGTTACGTAAGTAACCTATAGTTATGAGCATTTCTTTCTAAGCTCCGCCTTTTTGCGAGTACGTTTTGATTGACGGCGGCAATATTTATAGTCCTAACATGCTCATTTTCTACGGTAATGTGTCTGACCCTCCACCGATGCTGTATGTAAAATTGAAATTTAAGTGAATATTTAACTGTTAATGTAAATTATGCCAATAAAAAAAAAAGAATGTAGGCGGAGCTTAGGGTTCCAAGAGGATTATTTGTAGAGCAGGTCCTCCCGGATATGTGTGCAAAATTTCAGGTCATTCGGAGTTACGGTGCGACTTTGTAAATTTATTCCGAAATGGGATTTTGATAGGTGGCGCTAGTGAGCATGTTGGAATATTTAACCCATTGACTCCAGAATATTGAATTTTTTACCGGACCTGGCGTCCGTGCAAAATTATACAACTTTTTAAGCATCCTAAAGACCTCAAAAAGAGGAAACGCCAGCACGATAATAATAATACCACCAATAACAATAGGTTCCTCGCACTTCGTGCTAGGACGCCGTTGGGTCCTAGCGCCCCGTGCTCAGGCCCTATATAATATTGACAAATGTGCCAAAACTGCTCGATTTGCTACATTTTACCAGTTGACTTTAGTTGTAATAGCCTATACATTATCATAAATAAAAACAAAGAATACTTTTTATTCCTACTTTTGTAAAATAAAAACATTTAAATATCATATTTCTCAAACTTCTGGTAGAAATTAATAACAGATTAAGAACTAGGAATAGGAGTATTGACCGTTGTCTCAACAAAAGTAATTTAAAAAAAAAAATTTAATTAATTAAATTATGACTTACTATGATTTAACAGCGTTCTATTCTTGTTGTATGTTATCTTGCCATTGCCATTATCTTATTCCCTAATGTTATACATCATGATATAGTAAATGAAAATTCAACTAAGGCTCTGTTCATATCTAAGCCTCATGATAATATCTGTTTTTTATTTGTCATAAAGGGTATCTTCCATTAATGCATGTTGTCATGGAGAAGCGATGCAGCAACACTCACACTGTTGACTGTACTATAAGACTCTGATGTAGCTAAACCAGCTGAGGATCTTCTACAGATCAAAACCAAACTAGGTCTCTAAAGTTCAGCAGGTGTTCTGAGTGGCCCGCCTCCGTCTGCCATTGCTCAGCATCCAGAGCTGATGATGAAGATGATGAAGGTGCTGTTAAGAGCCTTTAAATGAAACACAAGAGAAACACCAGCAGTTCCACACCAGACAGAAGAGGGATGACCAGAGCCAGGCAAAACGCTCAGAGGACAGATCAGCTGAGAGGACAGATCAGCTGACCAAATGTTTTAAATGAATATTGGAGACACCTTTTCTTGTTATATAGAATCATTTTAACCTGTAAATCTAAAGTGTCTAATATGTTATTATTATTAGTCACCTCCTGACCCTTTCTTCTATCTAGACCATTGTCAATATTAAATGTCACGAAAAGTTTATTGTAAAAATACAAGAGGAATCCTTTTTTGTTTAATGATAATGTAATCTCATCAGGTGAGTGTGTTTAATATATGTTAAGAACATCTGTTGATTTCATGATGTAATGATGACCTTGTAGAGCCAGAAAATGTATTCATCAGTTCACTGACACACTGAATAATGTCAATAAATCCAATAACTGGTCAGTTATCAACAGTCACTCTTTGGTTCATGTGCTTCAAATGTGAGGATTCAATTTAATATGAATGTAAACTGATCATATTTAGTTTTTCTGACAATTGCAGAAATCGTTTTGGATATTTTTCACTGATTTCTGGCATTATAAATGAAATAATCAATTAGCGGAAAATAAAATGAAACTTAAAGTTAGAGCTTTAGTTAATTCTTAAAAATGTGTCCAAAAATCCCCAAAGGTTTCCTTTAGTGCCTCTCTCAGATTGAGGTGTCAACTTCACACAGAAGCGGTGCGTTTGCCTGGCTGCGGTCACATCCATGAGGCCAGTTGCATAAAGAAAGAAACAAAAAACGTTATCTGGCTATCTGAGCAACGCAAAGGTTCCACTGATATGGGCTTTAATTCTTTAATGAGAGACTCAATTATAGTGGGGGGCTAAATCAGAGAGTTTGTTTAACTTCGAGGATGAGACTTGCTACTATTACTCACAATACATCGCTCCAAAAAATAAATACAAAGAAACTTTATTTAAAAAAATAAGTGGAATGAAATCAGCCAGCTGTGTGTGTTTTAACTCAAAATCTTAATATCTATCTTCGCCCATGATTTATTGTTGTGCTCATGATATCACACTTTTATGCAACTGAGCCTCAGAGGGTGTGGGGGTGTCTCCTCGTGCCTCACCTGAAGGCCGGTAACACTGAGGCGGCGGGCGTCGTTGGCCGGAGCGACCACAGGAACCAGGAACGGGCTGTCAGGGATGTGCTGCTCGTTAAACTTCACCGAAATCTCATAATCACCTGCAGAGGAGGTGGGGGGGGGGGGAGAAGCGATCAAGCAAATTAATCAAAACCCGAACACAGAAACACTTAGTACCAACAAAAGTTGATAAGAATATAAATGCATCAGTGAACAATCATCAGACTACACTGCGTGAGTGTTTCTGTACCGGGGTCCTGAGCCACGTAGGAGACCCCGCAGGACCCGTCTTTGCGGTCGTCGAAGGAGATCTCCGCCCTGCTGGGACCCTCCACAGCGATGGAGAGACCGCCGGCCCCCGCCTCCCTCGTCCAGATACTGAACTCAGCTGGAGAGAGAGAGAGAGAGATAGAGGGGAGGGGGTGAGAGTGACTATGTGCAAAAGCAGCATTTAGTTCTCCCTGCTGGGGTCTGAACAGCTTGTGGAGTCACATCAGAGAGGAGTGGCAGGGACATTTTTGAAAACATATCATATGATTAAAAAAAAGAATCAAATACTAAGTAAATTATGATTTTTTTTGTCTAGGCATACTATTTCATGATTTTTTTATGACCCGTTTAGTTGTTTGCTGGGATTCTCAAGAAAAAGAAGGTAAGCAAAGCTCGGATATTTCTGTCACTGGTTTATTATCGTTATGAATCATCGTGAAACAACCGGGTTGGTTTTACTTTAAATGGAAAAAGGTTTGCAACACCTGGCAGGGTATTTTGGTTAAATTATTGTCAAATGTGTCTGTGTCTATGTGTGGTGGTGTGAGTGTGAGTGTGAGTGTGAGTGTGTGTGTGTGTGTGTACCTGGCTCTCCTGCCTGGGCTCCCTCCAGTCCCGGACCTCCTGCCCTCACCTTGGCGGCCCCCCCCTCTCCCAGGGGCCCCACAGTGAACTGGAAGGGGCTGCCTGGCACGTGCACGCCCCTGTACCGCACACTCACGCTGTGCACGCCCATCTCCGTGGGAACGAAGCGCACACAGTAGGTGTCGTTGCCTGCGGCGACCAGTTCTGCAGGCTGGCGGGCCCCCGAGGGGGAGGAGACCTCCGCGGAGACATCCTGCATGTCGATCGCTGCACACAGGAAGAGGGTTATTATACATATGGATTATTTTTGTAATCATTTGGGAAGTTACTCTAAGTACATTTATTCCAGAACTGTACTAAAGTTGAATTGTGAGGTACTTTGAATTTACTTACTTACTTTTTGCTGCACCACATTTATCTTAAAAACTTTAGTTACCACTTAATTTGTAGATTTACATTATTAATAATAAAAAATATATAGTATAAAGTTATTAAACATTAGCTCCACCTTTACAAGCTTTTCAAAAAAAGAATTTTTGTATTATGAGTACATATTTGATTATAATTTGCTACAATTACATTAATCAGGTAAATTATCCAAGTAGAAGGAAAAAGGATGAGCATAAGAGAAATTAAGAGCAGTTGCAGTTGTGTTACAAACACTGGGCGGTTCCCCCTAGAGCAGAGTTTCTGAAATATGCGGCAGGTTTTTCTTTAATATACATTTTGTAAACAGTTGAGCATAGATCCTTAAATAATTATAATATCATAGGTTCAATACAAATAATGTAAATACAAGTTTGATAACCAGATTGTCTAATATTCCTTTTTTTCAATGCAAATCATTATAAATGCTATCACATTGAAAATTATGTTTGCTCAGTTGGAAAATCAAGAAAACTGATTTGTGTTAAATGTGTGTTTGTTTTAGCATCAATGTAGCTGAAAACAATAAGTCCAAAAAGTCAAAAGAAGTCCAAGTTTCTCAATAAATTACTTAGGATTTTCAATTGGATTTCCATTAGATTTCAAAAGAAAATATTGTACTTAAAATATTTCATATAATATTAAAGATTAGCTAACCAGCAGTATTAAGTAATGTAATAGTAACTCTAACCTGAACAAGCTGACAACAAATGTGGTTGCAAATTCTGCATGAAAAGTATTCAAACAATAAAGTGTCTCCGCTCTACTAGAAGTCAATTGCTCTTTTCAGGAAATATATTTAAAAGGTGATAATTGTTTGAAAAAAACAGTGCCACAGAGCAACAACGCACCCTCCACCCTGGCACCACCCACTGAGCAGCGGGCATCAACGACCCAAACCCCCCTTGCTGCCCTCTTCCCCCCCCCCAGCACCAGGCCGGAGAGGCCGGAGATGAGGCGCACGTGCCCAGGGGAGAGGCTCGGATCCTGGGCAACAGCAGAGGAACGAGCCCCTCGACCGCTGGATCTTCCAGACCACCAGAGCGAGCAGAAGGAGCGGGAGGAGGGGGGAGAGAGGAGCTGCTGCCGAGAGAGGGCCAGCAGGAACCAGCTCACTGGAAGAAGAAGAGGGGGAAAAGAGAGAGGAGGACACACGGAGAGGGGGAGGAAGGAAATGAAGAAGGCAGAGGAGGAGGAAAAGAGGAGAAGCTGAGGAGGAAAATAGGGAACAATGATTGAGAAAAGAGAGGAGGATAAGGACAAAAAAGAAAGGAACAAAATGAAGAAAACAAAAAAATAAGGAGACAAAAATGTAAAAACAGAGATTAAAGAAAGGAGGATGCAGGGTGAGACAAAGGGAAGGATAGAAGAAGAGTAAAGGTCAGAGATTAAGAAAGGGTGAAAGACAAAACTGACAAACATTACCAGAGCAGTATGAGACAGAAAGCAGAGACATTTCAGACAGGAATTGGTTTGAGAAAAGGAAAAGGAGGAGCAGTTCTGAGGATGCAGAAGTGTTTAGTCTGAAGGTCGTGTCAGAATTCAGCTCCTAAATATCAGGAGCTGCTAACGCTTACCTGAAGAGTTTCTCTCTGACTTACAAAACAGCTGAACGCTCACTGCTGTTCACAAGAGATGGATACAACACATCTGAGACATGTCTTTGCTTTAAAGTAGAGTCAAATACAAAAGGAATGTTCCACTGACTTTTTCTGCTATCCAGGTCGGCATTATGTCTATTTCAGAAATATTCAGTAAAATGTTTTTACATAGATGTTACCATTTATTTTGAGATTTCATAATGCAGCTTCAGAAAAAACGATTAACATCCTACTTCCCAGGTCTTTGCAGTTTATTATTAATACATTTGATGCCTTTTAAGACTTTTTAAGGAACCAGGGAAACCCTCTAGAAATGAGAGCCACTGCTCCTGTCCTTCAGGGAGTCTGATCATGAACATTCGGATGAGGGCTTATCAAATTCGAAAAAATATCGGTTTGCGATTATTTTGACTGATATGGCAATTGCAATATTATTAATGAAAGTTCAGGGACTGTTCATTTCTTAATCATTATCCTCATTTTCATTTATGGGGAGATTTATTTTGCCAGAACTTTGTACCAAACTAAGATGTATTTGTTGTGTGTGTGTGTGTGTGTGTGTGTGTGTGTGTGTGTGTGTGTGTGTGTGTGTGTGTGTGTGTGTGTGGCTGACCGGTGATCCTGGCGGTGAAGGGGCTGCCGGCGATGTGCTTGCTGTTGTATTTGACCAGGATGTTGTAGTCTCCGGGCAGAGTGGGCAGGTAGCTGACGCTGCACGTCCCATCCTTGTTGTCCACACAGCTGATATCCGCTTTGGAGGGACCCTCGATGGCCAGGTCCAGACCCCCTGCACAGACAGACAGATTCAATTTGAAACAGGATGTTATCGCTGAACTGAATTGCATGCAAAATGCAAAGAATGTCACTATTACTGCTGCTACAAACGCAACCACTTACTACTAAATTATAATCTTGCATTTCTGATTTTGTTGGCTTTTGGAGTGATGAAAAAAAGGTAGTGAGCTTGAAGGTGATTGATTCTTTGTGGAGAAACTTAGATCTAGAGAAGCGTGGATGGGGTCCTGTAGCTAACTTACCTTCGGAGGCGTCCTCTGTGAAGACGGTGAATGTGGCCACCTTGTTGGCGACTCCGTAGCAGAGCCCGGGGCCGTGCGCTGTGACGTTGGGACTGCTGGCGTGGTTCACGTAGAACTGAAGAGGAGACTCTGTAAAAAAAAAATTAAAAAAAAGCATTTAACTTAAACATGGGGTAGTCCTCAGTTGACATGCTTTTGACCTACTTTCTGTTTTTCTGGTTTGTGCTCCTTTGCTCCAATGAAGGAAAATAAAGGTGTTCGGCATGCATTTATGGCTTAACTGTGAGATTGTTAGCGTGTGCTGACCTGGGGTGTGTGTGTGTGTGTGTGTGTGTGTGTGTGTGTGTGTGTGTGTGTGAGACTGTGTTCTGACCTGGGATGTGTGTTCCGTTGTATTTGATGTGCATCTCGTGCAGGCCGGCCTCAGTGGGGGAGTACTGCACTGTGACCGTCCCGTCCAGGTTGTCAGAGATCAGCGGCTGAGCGGATTTACCTGAAGGCATCAGCACCTCACCTGAGGGTCAGAGAAAAAGACACATGTAAATAATCAATGATCCAATCCGATTATTCCTTTTGAATTTGTTTTATTATTCTGTTACTTGTATGAAAGTATGCCACGTGGCTCTTTATCTCTTGGTAGGTCTACCAATTTGTTCCAAACAGAACAATCTCAATTATTGGATGGATGAATCTTAAAGACTTCTGTGATTCTCTGATGTTTCTCTATCCCCATCATGAGTTTGATATTTGTGGATTTTAGTAAAATGTCTCAAAAAAGATTGGATGTATTGGTTTATGCATGTCTATTCATGATGTTTAAACCCTGTATATCTGCACAGATGCAGATAAAGATTAGGCTACACTAATCGGATTGTTTCCAACTTGTGTGCTTCAAACATTTACAATAACTCAAGAGCGTTGTATCATACTGTAAGTCAAACTGTATTTGAAAAGGGGGGCGTCGAGGTACAACCAACAATGCCATAAATTACATGTATACAACCACAAGAACAAAAATCATCAATACGCCATCGCTCTCATACCAACTAACAAGAAAGATGTTCAAGGTGTTTTAATGGAAAAACACTTCAGCTTCAAATGAAAATCAAAAATAAATCACCTGTGATCTCTCCCTTTCTGAAGGAGAAAGGGATCACCATGTCGAACGGTCTGAAGCCGCTTCCATTAATGCTGCTGCTGCTGCTGTTAGGATCAAAGCTGTCTGAGGTCACCTGCAGAAGACAGACAGAGAGACAGGAAGTTAACACTTTGATTTAACCCTGAAACAACTTCCTGTCAGTCTCAGCACCCTGCAACAGAAACATGCTGCTGCCTGTGGCATCCTGGGAAGTGCAGAGCGAGGGAGCAGAGAAGAATTAGAATTAGAATGATGATGATGATGATGATGATGATGATGATGATGATGATGATGGTGACTGAAGAAGAGGAGAAAGACAGACCACCACAGAAATCCCCCTGCAGAACAACATATGGATCCTCAAGCAAAGCTTCCTGCATCACAAAGATAAGATACTTGGGACTGTTTTTATATTCACGTTACACTGTTAGGTGATTTCTGCAATCCCATTGGGATTGGGAGACAAAAAGAGAAGCGATGATATGGATGAGGCAAAGCAGGCGAGGAAGTCCAACTTAGCATGGAGCGAGAGAGAGCAAGGGGCGATTTTACCCAGCAGTGACCTGCAAGAGAGAGGAGCTGTGTCTGTGTGTGTGTGTGTGTGTGTGTGTGTGTGTGTGTGTGTGTTCATTTTGTGACGATGTTATGCTACTGTGTGTTAAATCACGTTTTCATATAGTGTATGGTGATTTTCTTTAAATTGTAATAGGCTCCTCTACCCAAACAAACCAGGTAATTAAAACTGGTTATAGCATTGAATTAGGCAGTTATAAGGATAAGTGCTGTTGGAATGCCGTTAGCATTTGGTAACCTTCTCCTCTTCTCTGATAAATGAAGATCCAGTTGGAATATGTAGTCGGATTAAGAAAGTGTATCATAAAATGTGTTTTTATACTAGATGAAAATGTATGACAGCCAAACACAACCCTTACGAATGCCCCTTTAAGGCAAATCAAACAGATGTTTCCTTAATTGATATTTGTGTATGACAATTGTAGGAAACATTTGGTGTAACGTCAGTATACGACTCTGTGTTGTGCCTCATGTGTGTGTGCACGTGTGTGTGTGTGAGTGCTTTTGGGTACCCAGGGCTGGAACCCAACTCCAGGGGCCGAAGCCTGTGACGGAAGAGACCTCCCCTCTTGCATGATGGGTACCTCATCAGTAGCCTGAAGACACGATAGTAATGATTAACATCTGACACCCAGACAAAAAAAAAAAACACACACACACTGCGTTGTGGGTAAATCCTTTCCTGCAAACTGAGGTATGAGGTCAAAAAGTACCAAAACCAAAAGCTGCATCAGCTCATTGTTTTTGGCCATTTTCAAAATCAATCTGCATTTACATTGCATTGTGCAGTTTATCTTCACAGTTATAGATTATACATCTCAACAAAGCTTCAACAGTCAAAGAGTCATTTGTGTTGATGTTTACATGAATACAAACCAGCAGCTGCCTGGAAGACAAGAAATAAACTTAAACAATTCAAAACCTTTAAGCCTGTATAGATAGCTGTATAGACAATATTCGCAGTTAAATCTCTATATAAAACTGTTCTCAGCTTTATGACGACCTCGACTTTCATGAAACCATTTAGGATCCCCATTAGAGCCGTATAAACCTAACCACAAATGTATTCCCCCCCCTCACCATGACTTTGAAGGGGCTGCGTGGGATGTTCTCCCCCCCGAAGCGGACGTAGATGACGTAGTTCCCGGGGGCCGGCGCCGTGTAGAAGATGTCGAATGTACCGTCCTCGTTCTCCAGCACCTCGGCCTCCACCTCGCTGCCGTCGGGCTGAACCACCACACAGCTCACCTTCCCTTTCCCAGCAGCCTTAGCATTCACCACCAGGCCCAGTTCCTCGCCGATGGCAACCGTGGGACCCACACCCGGACCTGGGGTGGGGGCAGGAAGAGGACAGTTAATCGTTTAACAATCAGAATCTGTTTGTTTTATGAAGTTGGATTCTTGTAGTTGCTCCATTTCACAATAAACTACAATAGGATAAGATAATATGAGCTATATAAAAATAAGAAATTAATGTAAACATTTTAGTTTTCTTACAGTTGCTATATTTCAAAATTAAATAAAACAATATTTAAATAAAAATAAATATTTATATTAAGATAATGAGTTAAATTAAGAATGTTGGTTCCTTAACAGTTTTTTAATACATTGAAATAACTTAAAATACAAATATATATTTATATTATTTATTTATAAACATAAAAAGCAAAGTAGTAAAAATGTGTCTGCCAAATTATTACAATATATAGCAACAATTAATATGAGAAAAATGTATATATAACAATATTTAAATTGGAGTATAAGTTGTAATAAAGATATTCATGCTGAAAACCTGATTATTGCTTGAAATGTAAAGTATAATATAACCGTAATTATCTTAAGTTAAATCAGTATTCCATGGTCAACTATGTTCTGTCTTGCACAGTTTATTAAGGGTTGTTGTGTGTTTTGTTGGAATGAGTATTTTACTCAATGATTTGAATGTGGCCAATCCCTCCAGCAATGCTTTTTAATGCGTAATTTATATTTGGGATCATTTATGTTCTCTGTGTTACATCTTCCTCCGTGCCAACGTACCGGTGACGGTGCACTTGCTGGCGTCTCCGGTGGCGGTGGCTCGGACTCTGTAGGGCGAGGCGGGGATGTCGTCGCCGCCGTACTTGATGACGATGGTGTACCGGCCCGCCCGGTGGGGGATGTACGACACCCGGTAGGTTCCGTCACCGTTGTCATGGATGGTGGGCTGCCTGGGTTTGCCATCCTGGTCCTGGAGAAGAGGGAGGACGGGACAGAATGTATTTATTATATTCACAAACAGAAAAAAAACCTTTACAGATTTAAGTGGTTTCATACATTTCCCTATTAACCTGTTTCCACTGTCATTTATACGGAGCCCCTAAAGGGACATGAAAAATAAATAAATAAATAGAGAGAAAAAAAAAGTCAGGATAACAGGTTTGCATCTCGTGCGCACGAGAAAGTTTTGCGTGTTTTTTTCCAACAATTTAATACAAATGTATTAGATTGTGAGGAATTTCTGACACTTCTTTATCAGAGGATAAAAATATCTTAAGTTGTTTGTCGGATAAAAGGAACTATTTGAAGTCGTCAATTTAGTTTCTTTTAGAAGTTATAAAACATCTAAAACTAATCTTTACCAAATACCCTAAAAACCTAACTAATCCAACTCTAAATAGCACCAGAACATTGATTTCACCAGTCTAAACATAACAAAATGACATAAGTAATTAAATGCATTTCAGGATAGAATAACTGTTTTATATTTTGCTAGTCTTATGGTCAAGCTTTGACATATTTTGATAACAACTGCTGCCTTTATCTCTTAAAAAACAGATAATGTCGTTCTATAGTCTTGACACACTAAAGCTCCTACATTTAAGTTTGGGTTTCATTAATCAATTCAGGTTTAGAAAAAGGTAGCTGTGAAAAAAAATAACATTCAGAGGTTTGTTTATAAATGTGTGTGTGTTATGAGTGTGTGTCACTGACGGTGATGAGCACGCTCAGCTGGCCCTGGCCGGCGTCCTTGGCGTCGATGTTGAACTCCACGGGGAAGCTGGCGGGCACGCCGCTGGTCAGCCCGGGGCCGCTGGCCCGCACTTTACTGGCATCGTGAGTGGGAAGGACCCGGAACTTGAAGGGACTGAGGGGAGTCACACAGAGGGACTGTCAGATACTGACTGGAACAAGACCGTGGAGTATATACTGCTTAGCCATTTATTCATGTTATAACTGGCTGCTTCTTCACTATTTGTATATGTTTTCTTTGATAATGCTGCTACCTATTTTCTTTACCTTGGGTGTGTACTTATTTGACTTTTTATGTTATTAACCTGTTAAACCCCAAGCCTGTTTTTCAGGCCTCAGGCCTATTTCTAAAATAACATGCCATAGATGTTTGTATTTTTTTTAAGTAAATTCAGATTGAACATGGTAAAAAAAATGTAAATGATAGTTTCCGTCCAAAAAGCCCCCATTATTAATAGTGAACACCACGCTTGAATGATGGGATAGTAGACTAAAAGCTTTAGGAATCCAAACTAACATATAATAAGTACCCTGTATCAAGATTGCAAAATAAGTGAAATTTTACCTTTTTAGAGAGATTCAGAAAAAAAACCCACCTCTGGGGTCATTTGGGTGTATTTGCCATATATCTGGAACCCATCGGTCGATTTTGGACTCTTTTGAACCGTTAGAGCCAATAGAATCGAGAGGGCGTTCCTAAATCCAATCCAAACATTACCATTGGTGAATGAGAGTGATGCGCAGCCAGCATGCCCAAAACCGGAAGCTCTCATACACTCTATATGGAAACTCAGTTTATTGCCATAAATGTTATGATGGATTATCAGTAATCATTTCAAAGTGACGCAGAGACATTGGATTAACCTTCAGCAGCATTTATCTGCGTTTTAATGCCCTTGAACACCGTTTTGGCCCCGTAAAGTGAAGTTGTGTGTTGTCTTTCCTGTTTTGGTCGCTCAGTGATGATACTTATAACATTGGAATCTGTGCAATCTGTGCAGATTGCATGAAGTATAAAAGATCGCTACCGTGAGTTATGTGCCAAGTGCGTCAGCACTCTTTCGCTTAGTGCTAATTCAGACGCTCGTCATTAGAGTTCTGTTTTATTTCGGTAACAATTGTTCATATCGTCAGTTAGCTGAATTGCTCCCCATTAAGTGGGTATGACACATTAATAGGTTGTTAAATGTTAAGAAGCCCTGACACACAGTTTCGTGAATATTGTTGTGTTTTAGCCCCTGCGGGTTTAACAGGTTGTGCTCACCTCTCTATTTAAACATTTAACTCTACTTATTTGATTGTTGCCCTTTCTCTGCAGTGCCCACTTTGCTTCAATAAAAATCCCCAATGTGGGAATAGGATAGGATTTCAGATTGTGCTCTGATTTCTGAAATCAAATTTGATTATGTTTTCGATTTTTTTCAACTTTACAATAAAGTAACAATTTAATTAAGGAATATTAATTTATTACAGTCAAAAGAAAGCAGCTTTTGGTATTCTTTTACTTAATTAGCATAAAAGTCTGAATATTTTCCTCCAAATGTTTCCAACACAATGGTTTCTATTTGTAAATTTCTATTTGTACATTTCAACAAGGTATATTTCATTATCCCCTAAAAATTGAATGCCAAAGTATAGGCATTCAAGGGCCATAGAAGAATTCAAGGTCTTGAAAAGTTTATATTGTAGATTTAGTATTTTGTTTGTCCGGCAGTGGCTCAGTCATTAGGGGCTTGGACTGTGAGCTGTAGGGTTGCCGGTTCAAGTCCCCGAAAAGACATAAATATGGAGTGTGGACTGCTACTTGGAAAGGTCCCAGTTCACCTCCTGGGCCCTGCCATGGTGCCCTTGAGCAAGGCACCGGACAACCCCCTTCCCCCCCACTCCTATTGCTCCTAGTACTAGACTCCTGGTACAAGGATGGGTTAAAAGCAGAGAACACATTTCACTGTGTGTCCTGTGTGCTCTGCATGTGAGACCATTCTATCTCTAACAGATCTCTCTGAATAGGTTGTGCTCAGTACCTGCGGGGGACTTCCTCCTCTGCGTATTTAACGGCCACAGAGTACGGGCCCTCTACAGATGGGGTGTAGGACACCAGGTGGGTCCCATCCCCGTTGTCCGTCACCTCCACAGGCTCTGCCAGACCCTTAGGAGCCGAGACGGCCACGGCAAGCGGCGCCACGCCGGCCTTCCTGCAGTCCACAGTGAATGATTGTGGGATATTGGCCCTGACCCCTGACCCCACACCGGGACCAGACACCTTGACCTTACTGGAGTCCACCACGTCCTTCACCGGGACCTTGAAGGGACTTCCTGCAGGAGGAAATGTTGAAGTCATAAAAACATTAAATATATATTTTTATATATAGAGAACAAATATTATTTTTGGAAAAAAACTAAAAACAACTCCAGATTTAGGTTGTTTCACACATTATCTTTCAATTTATTTGCATTCAGTTATATTTTTAAACAATAATCTGCATACATAAATGGAAACTATTTTTTAAATCAAGGTTTTTACATTTTTATTGCATAACATAAACTTTTGGAGGATGCCAATTTAGGTTTTTGAAAACTATGGTGGGGATTTTTAAGTTTCTGATGGTTCTAGGCCAAACATTTAATTATATAATCAATAAAATAGCCGGCAGCTGAATCCTTAATAATAATAATTGGGCTTTTAAACTTGCCATGCAGCATTGACCTTAGATTCTCAAACGCCTAACTACTGACTAATTATGAGCTCTATAAAGTTTTGTCCTGCTGTTAAATTCTTTGCGAGTTGGATCTGGGTGACGTGGTTTCTGGGTAATGTGGTTTCTGCATCCTGACGCTGTCGAACGAGAAACCACGCTGATCTTTTCCTGGACGAAGTCGATTAAAGAGAGCTGCGGCTTTTTAACTTCAACCACATCTTTAAAACATTTGTTTCAAAGACCTGGCACTTCGTTTATCAGCCAATAACATCAACAACATCCTTTAAACATTCACTGAACAACACTAAGTTCATAACATTTATTACGTTACACGGGAAACGACATAAAGGGCATTTAGGAAATAAACAGATCTAGTTAGACTGTATCGGTTTAATACCTAAATTAAAACGTAAAGTACATTTTGTTAATTTTCTATAATTTAAATATTGTCAAATCCAATAACTAAATTAAAAACAAGTCCCTAACATAGATCCTTATATATGAACACAGTATTTTTTTCTAATCAAGTATTCGAATCAACATTATTATACCGACTATATTATTGTGATGGCTCAAAGTCATGTGCCGACCAAAAAAATGGGCATCATGAAACTACTTCATCATAGGGGGGGGGGCGAATGAGTGTGTGTGAGAGAAACACAGGGATTTTAGCCTTTGCAGACCATTTACATTCACAAAAACCTTTGTAACACTGCAGGAAACTCCCAAAAAGCAGAATAGGGCCTCCTTGAATCCGTTATCTCACCGGGGATGTGCTCTCCTCCGTAGGTGATGTTGACGTCGTAGAGGCCGGGGGTGTAGGGAACATACTCCACGCTGCAGCTGCCATCTTTGTTGTCTTTGCAGGACATCTTGGATTCTGATGGACCCTCCACAGTGATGCCCAGACCACCGATACCTGCCCCTCTGGAGAGGATCAACACACACAAAGTCAGCATTAGTTTGAGCTCAAGTTAAAGAACGTTCACCTTTCACGAACTTCACGTTTTACTCTCTACTCGTCTGCTCCTGACTGTACCTGGTGATGATGTTGAAGTTGTTGGTCTTGTCAGTCAGGGCCTGTTGGAGCCCGGGGCCGGTAGCCACCACCCTGCGGGGGTCACATCCCTCCCCCACCGTCACCCTGAACGGGCTCTTAGGAACCGGAGTGTCGTCGTAGAAGACCTGCACGCTGTGGACGCCTGAAACACACACCAGGAAATAGAGGAGCTGATTATCACAGCACGATGGGTTGTTATAGGTTACAGTTAGATCATTTGGTAATGATTACAGATTTATGTTTAGCAAAGATGGGACCACCTCATTGTTTTGCAAGGCGCAAATAAGTCTTAAGACTTTGCACAAAGGTCCGAAGTCCTAAACTGTCAAGTCATAAAGCGCTGTAAACCAAATGCAAAGCCATTTTCCACCAGCACAGTATGTATACTGCAACTATTTTTAAAACAGTGAATCTTGTTTGATTTTTTTTTTTGGTTTGTATTCTGACTGGAGTTCAGGTCCGGTGACCTGAGTCCACCTGATGAGTGTTTTCAGTCTCGGTTTGTGTTACCGTTCTCAAACGGCGTGTACTCCACGCTGTATGTGCCATCCTCCCGGTCGGTGATCTGACACTCCGTCAGCGCTCCAGACGGGTTCTTCACCTCCGCATTCACGTGGTCCCCCCCCCGCCGGCTCAGAGGACGGGCATCCACCGTGAACTCTGTGGTGGCTTCTCTGAAAATGGCTGGAGGAGAAACGCATGATTAAAGGGACAGTCCACAGATTTTTCAAACAAAATGTAGTTTACATAGATACATATTGACCAACAGATTACCCATACTGCACCTTGTTTTTCCACTCCGGGTCCGAACACTTTGATCTTGGAAGTGTCGACGGCAGGATCTGCCGTCACCTTGGCGGGGAACCCAGGCACGGCCTTGCCCCCGTACTTCAGTAGCAGCGTGTACATGCCGGCGCTCAGCGGGACGTAGGTCACCGTGTACGTCCCGTCTTTGTTGTCCAACACCTCCGTCTTAGCTTTAACACCTGCAGCAACACAGTGCAGTTCTTTTATATTAATATCAGAGCACTGAAGTCTGAATGTCACAAACTCAGAGTTACTTAATAAAACTTCAACCACCAACAAAAGAATATATGTAAAAGACGACTATGTTGTATAATTAACACAAATAGTTTTGTAAATTTTTTATTTTTTTTTCTATCAACTAGTTAAAGGACTATGCTTGTAGTTTTCTACTGCCAGACAGCCATTTGTTTTAATTTAGCACAATATGAGTCAGAGAACTTCAGGTGAACATTAAGACTTTTCCAAATTAGGATACCATTTTGACATTCCTGATTCAAAATCCCAGCAAGATCTGGCTAACTGGCTGTTTGAATTCATTAATGTGTTCATTTTGACACCAGAAAAAAATACAATAACAAATACATTAATTTGGTTATTTTTTCCAGACATTTTGTTTTATCACACTGACTATTTAATGCGGGAATAAAAACATAATTAACCTTTACACCAAATGGTTGCCTGGAAGCAGTGAACTATATCTAACATGTATAAAGAAGTGCACCATTAAGGACGTTCACAGCTATCAGTGTGTATACTGGTTACTGGTGAGGGAGAATAGTGTTGGTGTTACCGGTGCGGGGGGCAGACCCCGTGGGGCTGGTGGGGGGGGTGTCCAGCGCCGCCTCCAGGCTGAGCTGTCCCGCTCCGGCCCGGGAACAGTCCACATTCACCACACTGGTCTCTCCAACCTGCACACACCACAAGCTTTATCTAGAATCTAAAATTGAAAGCTTGTCATTTAAAGAGGTGAAGGGTCGAAATTCATCTGTGCAAATCTTAACTGAGAAGTGACAAGGAGCCAAAGTAATATTCCCTTGTTTTATTTTTTAAAACCTTTCTTCGTATAATCTCCTCACAATCAACACAGGAACACTGGAACCTCTTGGACAATTTGCTATGATCTGGTTTGGGGGCTTGTAACAAACAGACAAAGTTTGGAAAAAATAGGCCCCTCATCCCCCTCAGTTTCGTTCAATACTTGTATGCGTATGGGATCATGATTATGTTTTAATCTATTTACAAACACTGAACAAATGCCAAGATATCGCGCAATGTTGCAGTTTGATATAACTTCAGAATGAACCAAATATAAAATGGTCCGTCCTAAGATAATATATATCTCGTATAAGTAAGAAACATTTGATTCACTTAGCCTTCTCTAAAAATGTTCGGAACCCGTATGCTGTTCTTGCCATCTTTTTGAATTATATATTGATATTTTTTCTGAAAAGTAGCAGTTTGGTTTTGTGGGAGACTCTGAATACTATGATAACTATGATCTAGTGAGAGTGAGGGTCTAAAATGAAAAGGTACTAGCAAACGGTTGGGAAAAAAACAAATAATACAACAACATCATCTTTTCTAAAATGATCCAAAATTGATCCAATATCATATTTAAACCGCTTAATGTTTAATCAGGTCTCTAAAAAAAGCATAATTCTCCTTCTATTTCCTCTCCGGCTGCTCACCTTGGCTCTTTTCAGGCCCGACCCCGACGCCACCACCTTGGAGGGGTCAAAGGGCATCTGGACGTTGGCTTTAAACGGCGACCCGGGGATGTGGACCTCCTCAAACAGGATGTTCACCAGGTAGTCCCCGGGCTCCGTGGGCAGGTAGGAGACGGAGCAGGTCCCGTCCCCGTTGTCCGAACACTCTATCTTAGCCTCTGTCGGGCCCTCCACCGTCAGACCCAGACCCCCGGTGCCCGCGCCCTTTGTGTCGATGGAGAACTCTGCAGGGTTTCCCACCAGACCCCCCTTCAGACCGGGGCCAGACGCTTTCACCTCCTTAGACACCTGACCCTTCAGACGCGGGGCAAAGGTACGATAAATTCACCTGGGGGGGATTTGTTCTTGTATGACGATAAATGATAGTAAGTTTATTACCACATTTGCAAATCGATCTTTTTCTACGCCAATCATGTTTAAATGGTAGTTGTCTCCTATTGATTGTTTTTTTGGTCGACGTATTTGCTTTCTTTGCTTTTCATTATCCCCCACCCTTTCCAGACATCCAGAGCCATTAACCACATCCCAGCTGTCATTCATAAGGATACAGTAAACTATTAAGCTTTCAGTGGTATTATCATGTAAACGTCATTGATAGTTTGCAGGGGAGCAGCAGATCTTGGATGTACGATGCATTAGTCTATATCATAATAAACACTCTTTCGCGGGCTTCTGCTGACGCTAATATCAGCAAAATCGGCTGAATGGGGGGGGGGGCAGTGATGGTAACATACAGAGGGTTTCATTGCCATTTTCATTACAACACATTTAAATGTTATTTTCATGATTGTTTTTGTGTTGCCGTTTGCTTTCTTTGCTTTTCAATGATCCTCCCCACCCCGTTTCCAGGCACAGAGCCATTAGACATCCCAGACTTTCAACAAAAAAAGTAAATATTAAGGATACAGTAAACTATTACTCGGTGGAAATAACATACGTTAGTTGGATAGATTTACACTGCAGATATTAATGTACATGCATTATTATATATAATAAACACTCTTTACGCTTCTGTAATAAAGGAAATTGGCTGAATAGACTGTTAAAAAATTGATTATTTCATTTTGGTGATTTTATTCCCCTTTTCATGCTGGTAATCATAAAAGAAAATGTGCCCATAATCATGGAGGATGATATTTCTATTGTAGAAAATATAAATTATATATGTATAAATATAGAAATAGAAATTGAATTGTTAGGATCTAATGTGGTCCTTTAGGAGGAAAAGAAACATGGTTGTAGAGAGAAAGATGCTGACCTTGCTGGGGTCTGGGGGCAGCTGGGCCTCCACAGGGAAGGGGCTCCCGGGTACGGGGTGTCCGTCGTAGGACACGTTGACAGCGTGCACCCCCTCCTCTGTGGGGGTGTAGCGTACCACACTGACGTCTGCTTTACCGGGCTGAGGCTCCATTTTGCACTTCACCGTCCGCTGGCTGGGACTCAGCTGGTAACACGAGCAAGAACAATTAATTAAATAACATTTTTAACACTTTTTTATACTTTCCTTTATGTAAACTAACCCTGGGATAATACTCAAGCTGATATTGATTTGAAGACTCACCACTGTCACCTCCAGACGACCTTGACCTCCTGCACCCTTTGTGTCCACCATAAACTGCTGCTCCTGATCCACCTCCGCTCCTGAAGCACATTTATTATTTATTCATCATGTTAGTAACAATATCAATCTAATACATTTTCTGGTGGTGCATTACACAACAGCAACACTTCATTCAAACATTTCATTAACCTGCCCTACTTTCAAACACACATGCATTTTGACGTATACCTTACTGTTGAGCTTTTTGTTTACAAAGTAATGAACCACAACCTGATTTACTAAAATTTCATCAAGACTTTTCTCAATTTTTTGATAATTATGTTTTAACTTGGACAGAAAGCCATCAGGAAGCAGAGAAAGATGTCTTACTTCCTTCCAGGTTGTCCACGGTGACTTTGCTGAGATCCAGCGGTGCAGCGACGCCCACTGCGAAGGGGCTCTTTGAGATGGGGTCTCCTCCGTACGTCACCACGATCTTCTGCTCCCCCTGCAGACACATGACACATGCAGATACAACACTGAAGATAAGAGATATAATCCTTTATCAGTCCCACAGCTGGGACATGTGAAGTTAAAGCAGCAAAGGGAATTCAAGAAAGATCGATAATAAAGCAAAAATACAAATATATCGACAGTAAATAGGAAAATATAAAAGGTAGACAGACTAAACCATTGAATTTACTTGATTGGACATAGAAAAGATTGATTTGCACAGCTTAGTGATCAAACTTACTATCATCTTATTTGACTGATAAAAGACACAAATCCCACATGTGCATTTATTGTACCTTTTCTACCGTTTGCCGGTCAGGTGTGTATTTTACGCAGCTATTGATCAGGAGCATGTTTAATGCATCTGTTACATATATCCTCATGTGCTGCTATTTCTCTGGCGTACCTGTTGTACAGGTGTGTATTTGACAGTCTGGGAGTAGTCGTAGTTGTCGATGATGTCGAAGTCGTTCACGGGAGAGGAGAAGGAAACATCCAGCGGGGCTTTACCGGCTCCTTTAGTCAGCACTGTGAAGTGAGTCGGCTTACCGCCCTCCACACCTGCACAGGGAGAGAGAAATAACAGACACAAGGTAAAACTAATTAAATAAAAAATGGTAAGTGCACACAGAGCTGATTTTTAGAAGCAAGTTGTCCCTTACCAGCAATGGACACTTGGTGGATACTAGTCACTGATTGAACAACAAAACCTTGGGATGTCAACTCCAATATTTAAAACTCCTAGTGGTTGTTTGATATAGGAATATCGCTTATATTGTGAAAATGTTTCTTGGAAATGTGTTTCTGAAAACATTTATGGCCAAAAGTAAGTCGTGGATGTGGGATTTTCATTTTAGTTTGTGAAGAGGTAAAAACCAAACAACAAAGTATGGTTTACATTTTGAACTACCTTGTCATTTGTAAAGTGCATCCATTGCTAAATGTGTCTTTCATTAAGTTTGATAACAGTTCATTTAAAATATTTTCTTTGCATCTGGAAATGCCCGAAAAACTTTTAGGAGTGTTTTGATCATCATCGAAATCAGATTTGTTAGTCAATATAGAACTCAATAATGTTGTGTTGTTAATAAAACAAAAAAGTTCAAAAAAGTGTGTGTGTGTGTTTGTGTCTCACCAGTGCGAGCCAGACCAGGACCATCTGCTTTGACCTTCGATGCATCGTGAGAGGGATCGACCTTCACGGTGAAAGGGCTCTGTGGAACTTCCTGTAGGGAAAAAAAGTCACATTGATTTTCATAAGAACAAACCATCAACATCTTTGTGTTTCTGATTGTTTGCGTGTGTACCTTATCAGTGAACAGGACTTTCACAGTGAGTCTTCCTGCAGCAGGAGGCATGTATTTGACAGTGAACGTGTCGTTGGCGTTGGGGATGATGTCAAAGTCCACATCGGCCTCTTTGTCACTGACCATGTTGGCGTCACACTTAATACCTACGCTGACATCACCTACAGGAACACAAAAACACACATTATTTAATTTACACTGCACAGATAAGCAGACAGATCAATATATATACATTAATATATTTATTTGGAAATAGAAGCAATGGATTCATTATATTTTCATTGTTAAAAGATAATGAATCTTTCTTTACAATAGTATTATATTGTAAATATAATATATTTAATTATTTTAGTTGACTTATTTCAATAATATATCTTACTTTTATTGTTATTCTTGTGTTATGACACTTCACTTTATAATTATTATTTTAATGTGCTTAATCTATTTGATGTTATTAAATGTTTTACTTAGTTCACGTATAATACTGCATTTATATATTTTTCTTTGTATAATAAATATTATATAATGTATACTCTATAGTTTTTTATTCTTATGTTGTACGTTACTTTTCTATTTTAGTTACAAGAATTTCTGCCACAGGGAGGTGCTAACGGGATCCAGTATACTGCTGTTCCTTCATTGCATTAACTCATGTCAGAAACATCTTGCATGGGGATGTTACATGTCATAGACTCTCTAATGTAAACAATGAACAAACCTCGCAGCACAATTAAAGAGTTTACAGCAGGGGCACTGCGCCGTCAACCACAGAGTATGGGAGATTCCTCAAACACTGGCAACCTGAAAACTGCTTTCTCTTATAGGACTGTCCCCCAGGGGAATGGACACACAGAGGGTGTGTGTTAACACTGTACATCTTAAGCAATCAAAACCGGAAAGATAAACTTCAGGTGACGCAATATTTCAACATTCAGACCATAAAAGGAAAATCCTTTCAGTATCAAATACTCACTACCAGCAGGAGCCTATTGGTGCTTTGCTGAGTAACAATTCAGTGATTGCTCATCAATTTATAAAAAAATGTCAGTAACTCAAAGTCCTGCTTTCAAATACTTACTTAAAAAGTACAGTGGTATTAGAAACATAATGAACTTTAAGTCCCAAAAGTAAACTGTAACAGAGATCCACTTATATATTAAAGACCCACACTCTTGCTTTAGCTTCTAACAAACCTAAAAGTTCTCCTGTGTTTTTGTTTGTTCCATAGTATCCTCACCTCAACAACTAAATATGTTGAATATGCTACATGAGGTGAATGAACAAGATACATGTAGTGTATGTACTGCAGCTCAGTGAGAGACTGCAAGGAATTGGGGGTTGCAACCAATGGTGGAAAAAAAGTACAGATGCTGTACTTAAGTAGGGGTTAAAGTTAGGTACTCAAGTATTAAAGTAAAAGTACTCATTAATTTATATAATTGGTCAATATGGAGAATATTTGAGATAGTAATGAGCGAATTAGTAGTACATATATATTGTGTTAACCATGTAAAAAGTAACTTCATGTGTCAAATAACTGCAGTAGAGTAAGAGTATAAAAAGTTCTCTGAAATGTCGTGGAGTAGAAGTACGAAGTAGCAGAAAAGAGAAAGACACAAGTAAAGTACAAGTACCCCAACATTATACTTAACTACAGCACTTGGTTATATGCCACAACTGGTTGCAACAAACTATTATTATTTTTAATAAATGTCAGGAAAAAGTGAGGAATGTCCATCCCAGTTTCTCAAGTCCAAGTTAGGATCTTGAAATGTCTTTGGTCAGGCCAAAACACAAAGATATTATGTTGATATGAAATAGGGAAAAAAGCAGGGAATCTCCATATTTAAGAAGCTTATAGGAATGTACTGAAAACACAGATTAACAGTGGATGAATGGATTATTCTGCTGCAGCAATTGGTGAAGATTCAAAGGCTGCTTTGACAGGCAGAAACAAGTCTTCCTCCATCTTAAACAGTCTGGAAGCAATTTTAAACAAACTTTAGATGCTTTTTCCCCTTTCTTTTCTTTAAATTGTACGTGTAGTGAATTTATGACACTAAATAGATCCTGGACAGCAGAGCTCATTGTAATGCAAGTCATTTGCATGTATTCCTGCATGTAAAACTAAAAACGGCTTTGTTAGGTTGCTCTTTAATATATTTCTGTACATGGTTAGTGCAGGTAGATGGTGAAGTGTGAGCATGTGTGAGCATGTGTGAGTGTGATCTGCTCAGGAAGGTCAAAGTAAAGAATTTCCCTTCAGGATGTTTCTGCTTTGAGATCACCTCTACTACATACCAGGGGGAAACGTGTGTGTGGGTGTGGGTGGGTGTGTGTGTGAGAACCATTCACAGACCACATTTTATAGGTCAATGTTTGTGTTGTTCTGACACAGATGGAAACTGATATAACACCGAATAAAACTGTATGTGGGGATATCCCGTCCTAATTGACACTGTGTGTTTGTGTTTGTGTGTGCCTTTGTTCATCTCACCGTCTCCAGCTCCTGAACAGTCCACAGTGAAGTGTGTTGGCTCGTTGGCCTTCAGACCAGTTCTCTCCACTCCAGGACCAAACACCTTCACCATCTTGGGGTGGCTGCCTTTACCCACGTTCACCTACAAGCACCAAAACAGGAGACTATTAACACGATTATTTGACATTATTCCATCATAAGATAATGCAATGTTAATAACAGCAAAAGCAGTTAAAAATGTTTTCCTATTTTAATCATTCATCGGAAACAACCACATAAATATGGAGTGCCACAGGGTTCCATCGTTGATCCCCCTACTTTTCTGATTTTTTACTTGTATATATATATATATATATATATATATATTTCACATTTTCAAACAGGTTATATTTTGTACGCTGCTTGATTTAACTCAACCATATTAATATTCATATATTCAGCAAATATAGCATTTTTTTTTTTTAAATCAATGTATTCCATATATTTGGACAGGAGTTCCGAGACAAGAGTTAAAGTAAAGCCCCTGAGATCAAGTGATATTAATATAAGTTGTGCATCAGAACTTTAGACATATATTTAAAATGGATAAGAGGCTTGTCCTGTTAAAAAAAAACAATACTGTTCATGTAAAGCATTTTCTCTTTGTTTTCTCATCAGCTGATTTCCAGGCTGCAGCTCAAGAGGCACCAATGAAGAACTGATTGATATAGAGAGATAACAAGAACTCATATATGAATAAGTAAAAGCAGATCACATCTACAACTTACATTGTCTTAATACTTTACCTCTAAAACACTGTTTACAAGATTGGTCAGTTCATAATGAACCCAAAACAATAACAGTACCATTATTGTCATTTAGTAATTAAATGAACAAGCTCTAGTTTTGTCTTTTATAGCTGCTCAAAGCATGTTCTACAGCAAGCTGGTTGAAAAACAAGAACTGTTGGAAAACCAGCACTTTCAAGTACAGACACATGCTGCAGGTTGGAGTCAGTAAATTAGTTTTAAATATCAAACAAACACAGCAAACATTGAGCCGAGATGAATGCAGTTGTTTATAAAGAGTGGGCTATACAGCCACACAGTGTCTGAAAAACAGGGTGGGTTTTTTCTTTGGTAAAACTAAAATTATATTTTACATAATTATCACTTCAAATATCTACAGCTAAAAGTGAATTGTGTGTAGGAGTATCTAGTCCTACATAACTTACCAAGATGGACAAATACAAAAAAACATCACTGTCATGCATACCAGCAAAATATATAGCAAATGATCCAAATAACACAGTAAAACATTGAAATTAAATGTCAGAATTTATTTATTTTGAAACCACACTATCTTCGACTTGTGACTCAACTTGATAGAAATGATTTTGGTTTTAGTACAGCTGATGGTTAGTTTCAGTCAACATGTTAGTTACAGATTCACCGTGAGACAAAAAAATCGAATAAAAAAATGCATGCACTTCATGTATGCAAGAAAACATATTTGACTAAATTAAACTTTGGTAAAACAAGTTCAGTGAATAAAATCGTTCAAAAATATTTTGTTTAAAAGTATTACATAGATCAAAAGTCAACCCTTAATTAAAATATAAGAACGGTAAGCCAGTCAGGCATTTCAGATAATTTCTCTGACTTGCAGTACGTTTGTTTATCAGCCGTCTTCCAGCTTCTTTTAAGTGAAAAAACGAAAAACCAAGGGCGGCCAAAGTTGTCTCAGTCAACCTCCTAAGTTAAATTCATAAATCTTGTGAGTAGAAGTTAATATTCTGTTTTCATGAGAATCAGGACAACACAAAAACTGCAGCTACATGTAACACGTGTTGTCCACACCGCCTTCACCATCACTTTTTCACCATTCACTTTTAATGAAAAGGTGTTTTCAGCTGAGAGCTGGGTGTGACTGTTTACTTTTTTATTCACGTACTGTGTCAACATAAAGCTGGAAAAAGGTGCAGCGGTTGCCTGCAGGCTGCTGCAGCTCACAACAAGCCTGTCGATCCATCACAGTGACATCAGCTCTAAACTTTGAAATAATAACTTTCAGACAAGTATAAACTTCTCTGCTGAAATGCTATGTGGACCAGTACAAATACCAGGGTAAACTTACATTTCTCAATGTAGTAGAATGTTATTGTTCGACAATGACTGCTAAGAAAAGCTTTGAACAGATATACTAAACTGCAGTGTCTAGATTTTAACCCTCATTATGTCACTTGCAAAGTCTCTAAAAGCTCCAAAGCTGCATCAACTATGTTCTTCTATAAACTTTTGGACTTTGTACCTCTGACATTTCAACACAAAGAGAGGAAAGTCCTGGCCAAGTCCTGAAGCCGGTTGGCATCATCATAAATTCCTTAGCAGCACAGAAACATATATTCAGACAGGAAGTTCCTCATGAGACTTATTTGTCCTGTGGTGGAAACAAACCGTAACAACTGGGAGAAGGGAAGACAGCTGATAAACAAGGTCAAAAACCTCATAGCTAAAACTCTAAATCTGAAAAATGAAAAAGGTGGGTACATTGCAAAGAAGACTGGTAACTGCATTTCAACTGTAAAATAAAAACCTTTCCACTTTGATTTGTTGTATATAATGAATATACTACGTTTTGGTTTTATGATTAGACTTTGATTAAATACAATGGAGCAACATATTTAAATTCTTTAAATCATATCATCATGAATGCGGATATAACATAGAGCTAAGAGAGCATCCTAAATGAATGCTTGTTAGATTAATTGTCAAGACTTTAATTATAATACATGATGTTAAAACTTGTGAAGAGGTTTTCATCCAACAGCATTAAGATTTATTTTCATTAAGAAAATAAATCTATGCTGTTTTGGTGCAGTGGTAAAAAAAGTATAAAAAGAAAAAGGTGCATGGGCAGGGGTTACAGTGCAGGGAAGACTGGGGAAGTGCATGTGGGGGTTACATACAGAACATGCTTGTTGAGGTTGAAAAAGACAAACCAAAGGTTGTTATAACAGTACACAGACAGAGCTTACAGTGTGGTTATCCGTTATATAAAATGTGAAAATTATTTAAAAGACATACAGTTGGGTTTGTTGAACAAGTATTAAACAGTAGTGTTAGTGATGGCAGTCATGCTTATTTAGAACAGAACATTTTTATGATGAAAGTCAGGTATGCAGTTCAGATATTAAACAAATGAACACAGACTAATAGTTAAATATCACTTTGGCACAAAAACAACTGATTAACATATGTTGTACTGCTGGCTTAATAACACATAACTTGTTGTTTTAATTGGCAACACAATCTACAGGCATTTACTATATTATTCCTAACTATGTTCTCATGAGTATATAATCACCTTAAACTAAGAATTGTTGTGTTTTTATTTCATTAGAATGAGCACTTTGCAAATACATAGAGGTTTATTGTTACCTGAAGGCCGCAATAGTTCTGTGACCTGCTTCAAAAGGGGGCAGTGAGTGAAGGGTTCCCATGGTGGACATATTTCTTCATGTATTTTTTGAATCAATTTCTTGATTATGTTTGTTTTTACTTGAGGCAGTCCTCCTTTGTCTCTTCAAGTAGTACCCTATTCCTTTTTTGATATATGTTGTTTTTCTCGTTGTATTCTGATTAAATAGTCTTGTTTTTATAGATTTTTTATTTGATCGATTTGCTCCAAGTGTGAAAACGGTAGCACAAAGTTTAGTTAAAAGAGGTAGGAGATGAAAATCTAGAATATACATGTTTCACCGATTCCATCTTCTCCCGCTTATCCGTGGTTGGGTCGCGTAGGTAGCAGTTCCCTTTTTCTGCATTCTTCTAAGAACTGACTTCAGTGCAGCTGATCTAGTAGCTGAACCTCTGCTCAGTGTATGTAGTGATGATGACCAGAGGCTTCTTAGTTTTACTGACCCCTTCTTTAATATTCACCTGCCCCGTCTTAAAACTCCCCTTTGACTGTGATTGGACAACGCTGAAACTTTCTGCCTTAACTAAAGCTTCTGATTGGATGACCTTAGCACTTCCTGTCTTAAATGGGTGCTGGGGTTTGGGCGGGACATCTCTTCCTGTTTTAACGAGGAGCTGTGATTGGCTGCTTACCCTGAAGGGGCTGTTGGGGACGCTGACTCCTCCCCAGGTGACGGCCAAGGTGTGTTTGAGAGGGGAGGTGGGGGTGTAGGAGCAGGAGTACAGCCCCTCTCCTTTACTCCTCACCTTCACCTCCACAGGAAGTCCCTCTGCGTCCTGACAGACAGAGAGACAGAGGTCAGGTTACATTACGGTTTACGATTTCCAAAATAAAACACTGAAATCCAAAAAGTGTTTTTAGGTTTGAAGAACGATACAAACAAACTTCCTTGCTGTGTGTGTGTGTGTGTGTGTGTGTGTGTGTGTGTGTGTGTGTGTGTGTGTGTGTGTGTGTGTGTGTGTGTGTGTGTGTACAGTCTTCATGTGTGTTCAGAAACTAGCTTCACGCCAAATACAACTGTCAGATTGAGTTTATTTTTCTTCTTGTACCTTCAATTGTGTTTTGCTTTCAAAAGTTTCCATGAAAAATACTCCAACAACTATTGCTACCATGAGAATTATTAAATTATCTTATTGATAAAGCACTTCAAAAACAGTCAATATACTCATCGATAATGAAAATAGTCAGAGTATAATCGTAGGCAGTATCAGAAATTCACACTTTTAAGATGCAGAAGCAGCGAACATAAGACGCGATGAGAAACAACACAAGCAAATAACGTGCGTCACACGTCTGTCTGAGAGCGGCAATTAGAGCAGAGACGACGCAACACCTCAACACCTTCTTTTTTTCTTCCTTAATCACCACAAGAAATGTGGATCGCTTTTGTCAGAAAGAACTCTCCCGCGAGGCCTTTCTTCTTTTCCGTAACTCGTGTGTGTTTTTTCACCAAATGTGGATTAGAGTGTAGACAGTCTTGTGAATGTCCTCCTTGTGAACGATCTTGTACTGTTTGACCCCCTATTGTAGATCCTTAGTGTAATGTGCAAACAATTTGAAAACACCTAATAACTAAATAAGTATTCTGACATCTCTGAAAGTCTTATAGTGTGTCAGTACCTGAGCCGTGATCTTCAGAGGTCCCTTCCCAGCATCCTTAGCGCTGACCGTGAACTCTGCCGGTTGGCTGAGCAGGCAGCCGGTCTTCTCCAGACCTGGCCCGTAAGCCTGAACCTACAACCACAGAACCAACACTGATTATTTCATACATACATATTTAGAGGCAAGGACCTTCTCATAGTATTCCTGTTAATTTCTTCGAATATGTACTTTTGGCGTTATAACTTTTCTAATTTGAGTATATAAGAAATAATGTAATAATCCTAAATAAGGATGTTTTTAAATGAGGTTTAAGTTTATTATTGTTTGTCTAGAAAGAATGTATATATCTTTTTTTGTAATTGAGCACTGGTACTTTAAGAGTGTGCACCCTTGCACATGTTCAGATATTTTGGAGTCGAGTGGAAGCTAAACTGGCTGTAAAGTGATTTGTCTTTTTGACAATTAGTTTTATATCATCAACCTTAAAATACTCTGGCGTTATTACCTTCTTGTTTCACATGTGGAATAAAAGTTTGTTTTGTTTTCCAAACTTTACAATAGAAATCAAGAAGATTTCAGTAAACATCAGATAGACTCAGACCATGATGAACAGCTCAATTGCATTTCTGCAGTTACAATTATCATGCGGAAATCCGGCCAGGTTCAAATGTTTAAAACAGAAACTTTTCAAAGATAATTTTGAGTTGTATTGCAATTACAAAACGGTGGGATACTTCCGGGTTGGCCTTAAGGCTATGCAATATATCAATGTTATATTAATTGAAATACGAGGCTGGATATCGTGTTAGATTTCAGATAGCGTAATATATTTATATCGATTAAGGGTTTTTAAAGGAACCATTAGAGTAAAGTGATGTCATTATTTAAACTTTCCAGACTGTTCTATCTTTTTCCTATAACCACTCTATCACTTTTTCATCAGTAGTAATGATTATTTATCATCTCATTATGTTAAAATGTATTGAACCCACCAATAGTCAATTCTTTAAGATCATGACAATATCGATATTGAGGTATTTGGTCAAAAATATTGTGATTTTGTCAACATTGCCCAGCACAAGATGGCCTTCAAAAAATACAACCTGCAGCTCTTCATCAGTTTTTGTGTCTTTCTGACCTTTTCAGAATCACTGGCGTTGTTATCGGGGACGATGAAGGCCATGAAGGGGCTGTGTTCAATGTCCTCCTCATCGCAGGTCACGTGGACGGCGTACTCCCCGGCCTCCAGCGGCCAGTATCGGACATCACAGGAGCCGTCGTTCTGGTCCTCACACTCGATCTTAGCCTGAGAAGGACCCTCGATGGCAAACCCTGAAGGCACAGAAGGTGGGATTAGACTGAATGTAAAGTGGGGGTTAGCAGGATTGTGACAGCAGTAAAACCAAGAATAACTCACCAAGCACTCCAACATCAGTGCCCACGGACTCCACTACAAAGGCGGCAGGTTTACCCACAATGCCCCCCTCCAGGCCAGGACCCCAGGCCCTGATCTGCTGAGGCCCCGCTTCACGACCTACTGACACCTCGAATGGACTGAAAGAAGAAAAATACTGTCAGAAAGCATAAATCACATAGTAGTAAAGTGTGTGTGTGGCTTTGATAAGACCACACACACACACACACACACACACACACACACACACACACACACACACACACACACACACACACACACACACACACACACACACACACACACATCTCTCT